TCTTTCATACTTCACTTTTTTGCAGTGTTTTATTGTTGGTTGTCTAGTTTTGGAAGACTAGCCAATACTGGGGTTTTTGTTTGGGGTTTGCTGCTTTTTTTTTTTGTGATACCTTTGCTGATGATGCCCTTTATACCTGAAAATTTGCCAGAGTAACAACTGACAAGAACTTAATGTGCATTTTTAATGTTTGTTTGCATATTAACATCCTATATGGCATAGGATTTATAAAGTTTAGGTAGTCTATGGAACAGAAAGGAAACAGTAGAAGTAGGTAATTCATGACTTCATAAAATGGCTTCATTTTATGTGAAGTAAAAATGTCAGAAAAGCAGTTTTAGTATTAAGTAACTTTGCAACTAGCATTTAACAGTAGTTTCAATGAAGGACGTTTGCTATCCCTACAGCTATTTTGAACTTTAATATACTGTGCTTATTTTCTTTCAGTTACACATTTGCATCTGGCTCTCCAGATAATATTAAGCAGTGGAAATTCCCAGATGGAAACTTCATTCAGAACCTCTCTGGTCACAATGCTATTATCAACACACTGGCTGTAAATTCCGATGGCGTTCTGGTCTCAGGAGGTAAAAATGAGAAATACATGTTCATATTTCCCCTCTCCACTCCCCCACATATATATGGCTGGAGATCCATAGACAAAGGTGCTCGCTGAGCTCTCCTTTATCTAGGCCTATAAGCCTGCTACAGCATACAACTTCATTTCATAGTGAGTAGGGCCACTTTTATTTTCTTGGATGCTACTGAGCTGTGTGCACAAAAATGCGTTTAAAAGGACTTTTAATCTGCAGCAGGGAAGATGTTTCCTCTTCTCAGTTGGCTGTTGCCGCAAGACTTCAGAGTCCATCCTCTATGATCTGATCATTAGTGTCCCCTCGGGAGTGGTGTGGAAATTGGAGGCTGCCTGGGAGACATCTGGTTCTTTGCTGGCTGCTGTCTTAGTAACATGTTGATGCAGTGAGAATGGATAGAGGTTATAGAAACATCTTGCTAAAGCTTGCTGTACCATTTAAATGTGAACTCTTCCCTGTTTTTTATGCAGCACAACCGCATTGGTTCTGTTGTCTCAAAGTTTCTTGCACGCATTCTCTGATGTTATCTTTGTATCATTTAAAAGACTGACAGCTAATCTCCAAATTTTATTTGGCTCTGTGAATCAAAACCATGTTTACTCAGCAATATTATATGTTCAAGTGTTCTGAAATTAAGAAACTAGCCACTTGGCTCCAGTGCCTATGGGAGGATTTTGTGTCTATTGTGACACATCAATTTAATTCTTTCACTCAAAAGCTTCAAGAATTTAATAATCAACTGATACATTAGAGTGTTGTTAGTGGCCTGTGAGCCCCCAAAATCTTGGAACTACTAGTTTGTGTTTATGTATCTGTTGCGGGGGTAGGAGGAGAATCCTGAATGCTTGCTGTATCTGATCGTGAATAATTTTATGTAAGAACATTTATCTCATACTGCAGGTAGCATTTTTCTATATATGTTACCCAAGCACTGTAATAAAAATATTTAGGTGAAAGTATTTCTTACCATAACCATAATCTGTGATGTTTCTGAGAGTTTTATGTTTGTACAAGACAAAGTACATATGTAGAACTTTTTTAGCGACAAGCTTTTTTGAAAGTAGCTTCTAGAAATCCCGGCTGAAATCAGATCTTTTCGTTAAGGCATTGTGTCTACATAGTAGGGAGACGGTAAGTGTGTTTTTAATGTAGATGCTGTTATAAACAGGAAATGAGTAAATAGTGTGGAAAAAGGAAGTGCTAATTTTACAGCTTGAGAGCTGAGCTCTAGAGAAACAGTCCAAGATTGCATGGGAAAACAGAGTTAAAGCAGGAGGTTAAACCCAAATCCCTGAGGTCCTAGACCAGTTGGTTAACACGAGATTGTCCTGGGAGAGCTCTAGCAGTCAGAGGAAAGTGAATTAAGAGGCTAGACTGTATTGCTTCACGTAAGTTGCAGAACCTGAGTTTTCACCTCTTGGTTTGGCTTGTCTAATCTTTTGGGTAGCTGTAAACAAGGATGGGACTCAATTCACAGCATCACATGTGGTAAGACAGTTTAAGATGGGTTCCATGAGTTTGCAGAAGCAGATACTTACGAAAAACATTTCTTTGTAACCGGAGCATAACAAAAAAAAGTAACAGTTAAGTTACACTTTGGAACACTGAAATACGTTTGGTCCCGTTTGGTCCCATGTGCTCTTGGTCCCATTTGATGCAGTCTGTCCTGTAGGCTAGGGATGTGGAGTAAGATGGAAATGTGCTAAGCAGGAGTTGGAAGATAGCTAATTATATTGTCGGCTTACCCTGGTTATGTTTTCAAGTATGTATAAAGGAGGGCCTTGATTTTAAAGTTTGGATAAAGCTCTATTTGACAACTGGCGCATTCATAGTGAGAGCAAGAACTTGACAAAATACTGGACTGAGCTCATATTTCATTCTTTATTATTTTGAAGACACTTCTAGCAGGTCTTTGTAGGACTTTTTTGTGTTAGTACTAGTTGCGGCTTTAGAAAAAGTGTTCCTTCTCCACCTGAAAAACCCTGTTGTTTTAGTAATGTTATTTGTGACTTCTTTAAAAATTAAAATTTTAATATTGATTCCCCCCCCTTTACATCCTCATGCTATCTACAGAAACTTCAAAGAAGTTGATGCTGAATTAAAATAAGTTAAGGTTACCTTAGAGTATTTTACTGTAGAAACACCCTTCTTGAAACATCTGGATTTCTTGTCTAGCTGGCAGCTGTTGAGAAATTTTTAATAGATCTGTTTTGGCTAGATAATGCTTTGGGAGGGGGTTGTGTTTCATAACTGAAAAATTGCTTTGAGAGCATCCTTCTGAATACAGAGTTCAGATTGCTGTGAATACCCTATAGCTGATGCCAGTAGCAGTAATACTGGCAGTGGTTTAAACTCTGTTTGAAATAAATGTTTGCAAACATTAAGGCTATGTCCCATTACAGACTCCTTAATGGCTGTAATCTGTTTAACAGGATGATGCCTCTTTATTCAACTTTAGTGGAGCTACTGGACAGGGAGCGTGATATTCAGAATGCCAGTCCTTAGTGGTGCTTCCAAAGCAACTTGCTGCAATTGCCTCGTGATGTAGTGTATCATCTCTGTGGGTTATCTGATGCAAAACTGGATGAGATTCTGAGGAAGCTTCCATCAGCCTTCTTAAACAAGATCAGCCTTTCTTAACTAAGAAGGAAACCAGTAGAAAATGGGAAACCTTGTAGGGTGTACTGAGCTATTCTACATGAATGTTATAGCTGATGTATTCCTGATGTATTAATTAGTTGTTCATGATTCTGTTTTTAGAAAACCCATAGAAATTAACTGGTTAAAATACTAAGTATGTTTGTTTGTTTTAGCTGATAATGGTACTATGCATCTTTGGGACTGGAGGACTGGATACAATTTCCAGAGAGTACATGCAGCTGTACAGCCAGGCTCTTTGGACAGTGAATCAGGAATATTTGCTTGTGTCTTTGACCAGTCAGAAAGCAGATTGCTAACTGCTGAAGCTGATAAAACCATAAAAGTATACAAAGAAGATGATACTGCGGTATGTTGAAATGTCTTTTTAACGTATTTTCATGAAATCAAAAAATTTCAAACAAATGTTACACATATCAATAAGGGACATGCACAGACTTGTGTAATCCATTTTATTGAAGTTTGAAAGCAATGTGTATGTAATAACGTTAAGAGGACAGCAGCTGGATTCTGCACTCCTAATTTCTTATTAACTGCTATAGTACAAGTAAGTGTCAGGTCTATCAACTCTTCTGCAAAAGTCTTCTGTGATAAAGTTTGGAGAAATCTTAATACAGTAATGTACATTGTGTCTTGAAGCCAGTAGGGGATTGTGTGTGATTGTATTGATTAGAACATGGGAATTAGCAAAAAGATTACATTTTAAAGATTTATTGTAGTTCTGTATATGATCTAGATTAGTTATTTGCCTTGAAAGTTTTTAGAGTTCAGAGTAAATAGCTTATTTTCAAACTGTTATTCTCAAATCTGAATCCATTGACTAATGGAGAAGACAATAGATTATTGTATAGTTTATCAGAGTACGTCTTCAATATAAAGAATATAAGGGTTTTTATTAAACCTTGGAATTCTTGCATTAATTAGACTTGGAGCAACTCTTAGATATAAAGGAATAAGGAATGTTTTATCCATTTTGCAATTGGGCAAACTGTAGACTCTGTGGCATCTGCCAGCACTGATGTAGATACCGTTGGAAGGACTGTCTCTGGAATTCCTGTTCCTGTGCTTTGATCACTACAACGTTGTTTCTGAAATGCCGTTGGCAACCTGATTTTTGTCCTTGTTGCAAAATGAAAAAAAAACCCAACAAACCCCAAACAAAAAACCAAAACCAAACAGAACAAGTCTTGTCATGTTCTTCAGACAGTGGGATGATACAAAATTTCATTTGGGTAAATTAATTGCATAGTAGCTTAGGTAATTATAATGTTACATATGAAATAGAGTGTATATATACTATGTGAGTAATATTTTAAACTAAACCCGAATTACAGGTGAATTTCAAGTTAAAAATAATCCTTATGAGATTCTTCTTTTTTCCCTTTAGACTGAAGAAACTCATCCTGTCAGCTGGAAACCAGAAATTATCAAGAGAAAGCGATTTTAGTGCGGCAACATACTTATGCTGTAATTTTGTTTTGGCTTTCCTGAGAGCATTCAGTCACATTTTGTCCTGCCTAGAACAGCAGAGCAGGAAGTCAGCTAAGTCATTGCTATTTCAACATGTTTTACAATAAATTTTATTTCTCTTTCCTTTTGTCTTCTTTGGTGTGATCCCAGCAAACCAGTTGCAGCTGTTAACTTTCTCTTTGTGGAGCATGTATAGTTCATGAAAAGGGTAGATGTGCAGGTGCTTACTTTTTTTATATGAATCTATTGAGTGTAAGTCTAAAAATATTTTGATGAGCCAGGTTTTCTGAAAGACCCTTGCTTGACTCCAAATGTTAATTGCAAATTTATGCATAGAAGCCATCTACCGGAAATTTCTTGAGTGACACTTTTAGATTTTAGACCAGTATTGCTTATTGTACATATGCTAAGTATATACTGTAATGGAACAGTATATATACTAAATTACAGAGTAATGGAGTAATCAAGAAAGAAGCAGGACAATATAATAATAATGTAGTTTGTTTTATGAGCACAGCCACTGAGCATTGCCAGTGCTGTGTTATTGAATGAAACGGATCTTCAAAGTGTTTCTTTCCCTAGGAAAGCTTCCATATGCAACTACTCACCTTCACTCATTTCATTTTGGAGTGGACCTTCTATAGCAAGGACCACTGCAAATCATACTGTTCACAGTCATTACAGGGTTAGGACCAGTTGACTTTCTTTGTAAATCACCTGTTTGTTTTTTCCAGTTACCCAAAGCATATATGACATTAGAGTACAGCGAACTTTTAAAACTGAGCTCTAAGAGGAAAAGCTCTTAAGTCATTCCAGCCTTAATTTTACATGTAGCTGTCTCCCCATGATCTCATGAAGGAATTTAAAATAAATAAAAAAATATTACTGAAAGATGATTTGTACTCCTGAAGGGACAAATCTTTCACTGTGTTTACAAACAGTCACATAACAAGTAAACATGTAAGCCTCCTTGCTACAGCTTATCTGTGATGTCTGTGCTGCTCTAAAGCACTTTCTCTTCATGGGGGGAGAAAAGTCTGAAGTCATCAAGCCATTCAGTTGTTAGCAACTTTGCTAGTGGTGTTAATAGCTGCAGTGGCAAGTGTCATGCTGGGTAGATGCTGAGAATTGTTCTGTGGCCACAGCACTGGCACTAAGCAGTTCACAATTATTTCTATTCTCTGCCAGTCTGACTTCTTTCAAATCTAGGATTTATGTTAGAGAAATGACAGTTATTTGCAACATAACAACGTATAAAAAGCTAGTAAAACTAAGTGTTGTTTATATTCTGAGAATTTTTGTCTTGTCTTTTATGATGCACAGAAGGTCTTGTATTTATAATTTGAATGTTTGGCAATGTCATTTTAAGGCTGTCTGTGCTGCATAAATAACTGAATTTTGGTTGACAGCTACTGTCTTGAAGCATCTTTACAAAAAAGGGAGGGGAGTATTTGGTATTTACAATTTGAACTAAGTGTTGTTTATATTCTGAGAATTTTTGTCTTGTCTTTTATGATGCACAGAAGGTCTTGTATTTATAATTTGAATGTTTGGCAATGTCATTTTAAGGCTGTCTGTGCTGCATAAATAACTGAATTTTGGTTGACAGCTACTGTCTTGAAGCATCTTTACAAAAAAGGGAGGGGAGTATTTGGTATTTACAATTTGGATTAACCATCTCTTGTTTGTATGATAATTTGAATTTTTCTACATCTTTATTACAGCTGTTTTCATTTTAACTAACATAATGGGGAAAAATACAGGTTGTGGCCTATGCGTATTTTATACTGCTGCTAACACTTCATTCCAGAAATCGATGAAGCAGTGGTGTTACACAGAATTTTCTTGCTCACAGTGAAATCCTCTGTAGGAAACGAGAGTGGAGAGGAGTAACTTGAAAAAGGGGGTGGGTTTTTGTTGTGGTTTGTTTTCTTGGGGTGGTTTTGTTGGTGTTTTTTTTTTTTTTTTAGAAGTGTCTATTTCTTTTGATAGTTTGGAATCAGGAAGGGGAAATTAGAGGTTTTGGCTCACAGTTCTAGCACATCTCCTCTGTACTGGCACTTTCCTTTAAAAACCTGCATTTGTTTCACTGTTTATTGCTTTGAGGAGAGATTAGAAAGTCTCCCGCAGAACCTGTGTTTCTTCCCTGGACTTCTGCACGAATCTGCTAGCATGGGGCAGTGGTTGCCAGGGCATTCTTTTTGTGCCCTGGGTAAAGATTTGGTTTGCAAATTAAAGGCTACGCACTATTATTTGGAATAATACTTCTCCTTTTTGGCTCTATAATATGCTGTCCCAGTTCTAAGTGTGATTTTTTTTTTTCAGTTGTATTGTTTAACACTTTATTTGCATGTTCATTTCCTTCCCAGCATTTTCTTCCACTTGACAGTAATGCGAGTGTCATCACACATACTTCTATAAGTACTATTTATGACACATCAAGATGATCAGATTTCATTTGAGTGCTTCTCTAGTGCAAAGTAAGGCTAGCTAGGGACTTGTGATACACATATATCTGATTGTGTAGGACATAGTGACATTAGATTTGTCCATGTAAGTCATAAGATGAAGCAAAAGAGGAGGATCTGGTCCATTGGATGTATTTTCCGTGCTTCTGGAAGTGTCATACTGCAATGTCAGCTAAAGTAATGTTGTGCTGGAGTCTAATCTCAGAAAATAATTGTCTCTTATTTCATAAAACTTGATGTTGTCTCCTGTATATGATCAAATCATGCACATTTCTACCACAAACCTTGGGTTTTGTTTTATACTGTACATAATTGCAGAGAAGTAAGAAAATGTTTTTTGATTGTAACATAATTCAAAAAAGTGTAACTGGTAAAAGTGATAAATTTTAAGATCACTCTTTGCTGTATACTAAAGCATACAATGTAAGCTATGCAGCTAGAATGCTGTCATTTGCTGGCAGCATGAAAGTTGTACAGAACAGTATGTCTTTGGCAACTTAAAGGCTTACAGAAGTAAACCTTTAATAGCCAGTTTCTTTAGTCCTGTTAGATAAGAATTAAAGTGCTATGCCTGATTTAAGTGACAGCAATTTAGCCATCAATAAAACCTTCAATACAATACGATTTCATGTCTTCTTTCCATTTTGGGTTTTGTAGTAAGAACAACAAAAAATAACTAAATATGTATTGAAAGTTAAAGTAATTTAGGATTAAAATTGATGACTGTTTCCCATAGTACAGTAACAAATATTTTTGCAGATCAGCTGTAATGGAGAGGGAGAGTACTGATGGCTATTTTACGAAGAGCTTCCTATCTGCATGAAGGGATTAGCAAAACAAATGCAGAATTGTTCATGAATTTTCTCTAACGTGGTTTAAAAAAACCCAACATTAAAACCTCTCTGGAGTTAAGTATGAGGTCTAGGACAGGTTCTGGATAGGAGCTGTGTGGGTGGAAAAAAGCTTAGAGTTAAACTAATTCTGGTGTGTCTTACTGGGAGCAAATTAAAGGGATATTTCTGTCCATGGCACATAACTGAAAATTTGGTCACAATGAAATCAATGTGAGTTTTAGCATTGATTTTTGAAGTCAAGATTTCACTCAGTGGGGTGTTTTGGGGGTTGTTTTTTGGGTTGGTTTTTTTTTTCTTCCCTAAAGTGAGTTGGAAAAACTATCAGTCTGGTACATGATGTATGTAAGTATCCACACAAGGTGCATTTTTTTGTGCGCAAGATGCATCATTCTTTTTTAGATGAGGCTTCTAAACTTTTATTCATACACCTAAGAAAATGGTGAGGATTTGGAAATGAATGAATGCCAGTAAGCTTGATCAGCTGAAAAAGGTCAACCTGCAATTTTGTTGTATAAGATTTAACACTAGATTAGCAGGACTTGAAACTAGCATAAATATGACTTCCTACAGAAGCTGTTCCATAAGCAGAATATGCAGTTGGTGAATCACTTAATTCGTTTGAAAGCAAACAAGTCCGGCTGAAATGAGCTTGAAGGCTGCATGAAGAGAGGGAAGCTTTTTGACTTGGTTTTTGTCTGTAGTTCGAAAACTTGGCAGGCAGGGAACTACAGAGTTCACTGGTGGTCATTTAGGTAGAGCTTGTCACTTTGGGAGACTCCATCTGATGCTTCTTTAATGGCAGCAGCTAAGAATCAGTTTTCTGGCCTTTGCATCTTGAAGCCTTATGAATTTAGTTCTGTGCTTAGTAGGTCAGAAGTTGGCTGAAAACTGGCAAAGAAGTTGGATGAAAAATGAATGGCCATCCCTGTCTGAAGATGATCCTTCCAAGAATTTTGATGCACAGAGGGGAATCTGCATTTCTCATTTTGATTTTCAGTAAGGTTCTGTAAGTAAGCTCTGATTGCAGGGCTAGCAAAATGTAATTGCTTCTGTGAACACTTTTTCACATGCATTTTTCCTATGCTTCCTTATCTTAAAGTTCATCAGGAGTCATTCAGTATCGTAATTTCATCTAGCATGTGTCAGAAACTTGAAAAATATCAGCATAAGCATTCACATTCTGATGTTGAATATGACTTGAGAGGTTTTCCAGCAAAATGACCAAATCTAACCAAGAGAATTTTCTCTTTAATTAGTATGTATTCTACCAATTGCTGTAAAGCAGCACTCAGATAGTTTTAAAAATGTATGAAAAATTGTATAGGGTTTGCAGTTATAGATGTGGAGTTTCTAGATGTGGACTTGTTTTTTTCAAAATGTTCTCTTGAAAATCTTTTTAAAGATTTTGACTTGAGGGATTTGCAGGATCAACCCTCAGGTGTTACTGTTTTCCCTTGTGGCTTATATTGAAACTGTGTAGTATTGGCTTTGTAACGTTTAGTTGTGAACCTTTAAGTCAGTAACATGTTAACGTCCTTCAGGTACATGTTATCACCAGGCTTTTGTTAACCTTTCTTTAGGGTTTTTGTTCTGAATATAATGAGTACACTAGCCCCAACTGTGTATCTAAATCATGGATTAATTGGGGCACTTGCCTGCAAATTAGACCTCAACAGTACAAACAGTAATTGAACTAAATGCTTGTCTCCAGGTAAGGAAGATTGAAATCGCTGACAAGAAAACTACAGTTGAAAATAAGAAATCTTATGTTTGCACAGGCTTGGGAAAACTGTATTGTGCT